TACGAAAATGCAGTTACATCTGTAAGCGCCCGAACTGACAACATTATCCCTTAGCTATCTTTTTTGTCACGCTCTCCACCCTACGGGACATGTCAAGCACCTGCTTTTTTACCCGTCATAAATCCTTGTTCATTGTTCATTGTTCCTTACTGTATGGTTACCTTGGCTGCGTTGTGCATTGATTTGAGTGCGAAATATTTCAAACGTTATGCTCATCGGTACTTCGTACGCCGAATGACTCAGATAGATTCTGTGCCCACTATGCTTGGCAGTTTCTTGCATACCTAAGTGTAGATCGTTAGAAATCACTTACTACGGTTTCTTGGCGGAAGCTGCGAATATGCTGCTGAGTAGTTTACCACGTACCTGTTCACTTATTCCCATCTTACCCAGATCAACCCTTCTATCTTCAGCAAATCGAACATGCTTCCACCTGATATAGTCACTAAACCGTTGTACTTGACCCTCTACAGACCATTGCAAGCTTTGCCGTTAACATAAGGCCATCCGCCTCACTGAATCCCCCCCCCCAAACTATACAACGCAGTGTTCTGAGACAGCTGCACCGAAACTCTCCGCTTCGGATGTCGTCCCAGTGGTCGAAATGGCAGAGAGTTGCTTCAGAGCAAACGGTGGTCCCAATACAGATTGTCTGTCGCAATCCAGCTACATCGTGTGTACTCCAAGACCCAACAATGAATGCATATACTGCGTTCGCACTAAGACATGAAGCTCAAAACTACACGTTTCATGTGCCATATGACTAACCTGTTCCCATACCATCCCCTTATCTTCACTGCCAACTATTTTTATTTCCATGTTCTCAATTAATTGCTAACAAACAGGTATTTACACAAATTTTTGCTCTGCTTATGTGTGCGTATATTGTTGCTCTACTTCTTACTGTGGTAACTTACAGTGGGTCAGAGATAATGACAATCCTACACAAACCATCTCTTAGAAATTCAACACTGTTAAACTCTCCACCCTCCCTCTGCAGGAAGCAGCCAATCTAGTTGAAGAGATTACGGCTTGGAGATGGGAACAGTTCGAAAGCTGGTCACGTGATTGTCTCAATCGATTGAACAGTCATGGTGGCACAAATGCAACTGATTCTCTGGCATTCGACCCATCTGGACGGCTGTTAACCTTGTCTGCGGTTGACGGTCACCTTGAAGTCGGATATCCCGATGGGTTAGTTCAACTTCAACGCGAAGTGCGGCTACTCACCGGACTCGGCTATCCTGTACCGAGTAAACTAGTGGCCGCAGCCGAGCAAGCTCATTCCCTGCATCGTTATGCGGTTGTACTGAAGCAGGTATGTGTTCCATATACCAATATTACTGGGCTCCATGCGTCTGACTCTAGCTTTGAGGGAATGTCAATCTCATCCGCCCAAATAGACCGTGACGATCGGAGTTACTGAGCATTATTTCTTTAGACTAATGCCACTATTTTTCACATAATATGAAGTGTAATGGTAAGGGTTCTGCTGATTACCGCATACCTTAGTATTTGGCAAATATTTAAATAATGATGTGTATCTCTAATCCGCGAAACCTTTCAGCCGTTTTGTTCGACGCTATATTCAGCAAAGATCCTCAAATCTAATGATAAACCGCGTCTTGCAAACAGCGGCAACACGACCAGACTTGATGCCAGGTTGGATTCATACATTGTCACAATTTTTTCCGAACGTGCTTCAATGAACAGCAAGTCCACACTATGTGGAAGCGTGGCATTATCATCCCAATTTTTAAGGCAGTAGCCGTTTACATCCTGCAAACTATCACCCAGTGGCTCTCCTCCCTCTGTTCGTGAAGGTGATGGAAGCCTCCGTCGCAGAGGCTGTAATGGACTACCAGGAAAAAATGCAACTTCTTGGCACCGGAGCAGTATGGCATCCGTAAACTGCAGTCATGCACCGCCAAACCAGTTATTACTATCAATACCACCGCAGGACTCAAGACGCCATCGTTTGTTCCACCAAACAAAGCAGCCACTGGTCCCTCCAAAAAGGAAAACATGAAACACTACCATAATTCTCCAACTGTTATATGCTCTAATGTGACTGAATCCGGGGCGAACTCCATAAAAGATAAGATACTAGACGACAAAAATCGGTGGGACCCGCTGTGTCAACTAATAGGGGTTCAAGCTAAACCAGTAAATATGATGTGTCTCGTCCGTAACCCAAACTCCGTACATTAGCGTGAAACGCGGTCACTCCAGGTAACTCTTCAGTTAGGTAATGATGCAGAGGCAGTTCTCTTGTCAGCCACTCGCCTCCGTACCACCACTTACACTGTTCGAATATTTCCAGATGTTAATTGGAACGAACGCCAGAAACGGAAACAAAATCCGGATGACTTCCGTAAACAAAAAGACGCGAAATCCATCCTTGTTCACGGTGTCCCCGAGCTCCAGTTACTAAGCGAGCTAGAGGTCAAAGCGCATGGCTGGAATGAATGGCGTTTTATTCATGAAGTGCTCTCACTCGAAAATGTTATCGCTAATTCGATAACAAGGTTACCGTTATCACCTAACTACAAAGGGTGTGGTCCCCGAGTGATGAAAGTATCGTTGCACTCCGAACTGATGGTAGAACATGTGATCAAAATGTGGCACAAAAAGCGTAAAATGCTTCCATCCGAAATACGTATACAGGCAATAGGCACCGGGTCACAGCTAGAGAATGTAACACTAAGCAAGCAACTTACCAATCCAATTCTGTCAGCATGTAGCTCAGAACGAAAACAATGCCAAAACACACCGGCACCTGAAGGAGGACAGGATGGTCACCATCTTGTTGGCGGTGAGAGCTCTGTACAACAACCTGAACTGGTCCTAGGGCCAGCATCATCGGTCCTACAAAAGGACGACCGGCAGCCGACCCCCCAACAGTCAGCATAGACCCTTACCGGAAGCCAGCATCCACAAGCACGTTTCTGATCATCGATACCCTCATCTACTTGTATACCATTGCACAAGGTCTTCTCATCAAGCTGACCGAACTTTGTATTCGTTAAGTCTTCACACCTTGGGACCTAATTATGGTCACCGAAACATGGCTGAACACGGAGATTACGGATGCTGAGATTTCACTACCCGGCATGACTTCCATACGACATGATCGACCTAGCAGAGGAGGGGAAGTGCTCCCGTATTATCGATCCGACCTGCATGTCGATGTCATTGACGACTTAGAAACGAAAGCACTCGATTCTCTTTGGTGTCGTATGCACCTAAGACGTGATGTGTGTTTACTAGCAACAGTTTACCGCCCTCCAATGTCCACCTTGGAAATGGATCAATGCCTAGCTTCTGCGATGAAACTAGTCCTGACACGATCACCCGGTCACGTCCTCCTGGTGAGGGACTTCAACCTGTACGTAGTAGAAGTTCCAGCATCGCACAGCGAACAATTCAAGGCGGATTTGCAAGAGTTGATTGCCGATGTACCTCTGTACAACAATGTCACCTCTCCCACGCGATTCCGAACAGGTGATACACCCTCAGTTTTGGACCTTGTGCTCTCCAACGACGAACTAATGGTCGACACCGTGACCATAGATGCACTACTTTCTTGTAGCGATCACGCGATGTTGGTCTTTCGTTGCATCTGGTACTCGGAATGTATAAGTGAGAACAACGTAGAAACCTATGTCGTTACACATTACGATATCCTATCCAAGCTCGTTCGAGAAACCGACTGGTCCTTCCTGGCCGAGGAGCCGCCCAATGTCGCCTGGATGTTGTTCGTCACCCAATTCACTGGGCTAGTGATAAATGCGTCAGAAAGCAAGCTCCTTTGTCCGAAGCAAGTGAACTCCTTCCTGCGGAGCCATATTAGAAAATGCATGGCCTTAAGAGATTCAGCCTGGCGCGCTTACAAAGTCTGTCCAAGTAACCTGACATGGGGTGCTTACACAACAACGAAACCACTGCGCAAGTTGCTCCGCGAAGCTAAACTCCAGTACCAACAGAACTTAACGGCGAAATTCAGTACAAACCCCAAATTGCTGTATAGACAAGTCGACAAGCTCCGCAGAGCGCAGCGCGGGATCCCGGTTTGATGTGCAAGAGATGGTCTTGCGCAAACCGTACAAGATGCAGCCAACGTGCTTCGCCAACGCTTCATCCATACTTTCCAGAGTAAATCATCATTTCATCCGCTTTTTACACAGCTTTCATCGCCACCAGGGTTAAAACGCGTGTGATTCACCATGCTAATGACACTGCGTCTGCAAGGCTTACCTGGCCTAGACGACATCAAGCCGAAGGCATTGAAGACAGCGGCCAAGTACCTTGCCCAACCATCAGCTCGGTTTTTTCAACATTTTCTCGATGAAATGCAGGTTCTCGAAATGTGGAATCATGGACCACTCTCTCCAATTTGTAAAAGTGGTAATTGTTCGGAGCCCTCGAACTACCGTCCAATCACTCTCCTCCCAGTTTTATCCAAACCAATGGGACGTATATTTGCAGAGACGCTCATGGGATATCTTGTGAGCAACAACATCCTAGTGTTACAGCAACACGAATTCCGTAAATATCAATCATCCATTATAATCTTGCTTCTAGCCCGAGCAAGCTGGACAGAGTCAGCCGATGCCAGAGTGGGAGTCGACGCCGTCTAACTGGACTTCTCGAAAGCGTTCGATCGTTTGGACCGCCGCATTCGCTTGCACAATCTTCGAAACTGTGGAATCGGTGACCCTATACTCGCTTGGATGAGCAACTTCCACGCTCAACGTCAACTGAATGTAAGGGTCTGCAGCTCCATTTCCGACCCAAGTGACATCCAGTGTGGCGTGCCTCAAGAATCGGTACTGGGGCCACGTTTCTCCTTAACATTCATTAACGATCTTGTCAGTGTGCTGAAGTCGAATTTCTTACTATTCGCAGATGATGTAAAAATTTGGCATGATATCAGGACAGTGGAATATCACATGACATTGCAGAGCGATCTCGACAGGGCTTATGTGTGGTCATCCGATAACCGGCTCAAGTTCAACGTGACCAGGTGCAAAATCGTAAGCATACGCCATCAGCTTATCTATGAATATCGACTTGGGGATTAGCAGTTACAGCTTGCTTCCCAAGAAAACGACCTCGTGATGATCGTGCAGGACGATCTTGGTTGCTCGAGACAGGCTGAAGTGTATCAAAAAGAGCCGATCAACGTGTTGGACTCTTACGGAGAACTTTCGGGAATTTTGAGCCCTCAATCTTTCCGCAAACACTGAACGCCTAAGTGAGGCCTCACGTGAAATATGCGATCCAGGCCTGGTGTCCTTGGCGCAAGCGCAACGTCGGTGCACTTGAATCTTCACAACGTAGAGCGACCAAACTCGTTAGAGGATTGCTTCATCTATCCTACCAACGCAGACTGCAGTCCCTGAGATTGTACAGTGGTGAATATCGACGTCAACGAGCAGACCTAATCATGATTTGCTTAATACTGACAAACCCAACTCATCCATGTCTCAATCTGTTGCAGCTGAGCCAAAATAGCAGCTGGAGTGGCCATAAGCTCAAACTGGCTATACACTACAGTCGACTTGATTGTCAACGAAACGTTTTCCCTCTCCGTGCGTCCCGTGTCTGGAATGCCCTACCGCCCCACGTTATCCTTGCCCCAACATTAATGCTTTTCAAAAAAAGCCATGATGAAACGCTTCTTTAACTTGCATTACTTGATATAGTCCGTTCCACTTGGAGGGCGAAATAACCCAAACCGAACCATGGCTTAACGGCACTCTCCGCAACGTGGCGGTGAGGATATATGCAGAAGTGTCCATGTGAGTAGCCTGGATGTATCTAAACTGGATTAACAAACCACATCTGTCAAATGAAGAAACAAACGAGTGAGCGTTGTCGTTTCCTTTCTTATTTCGCGCACACTTACTGAACTATAACAGCTCTCTATATTATTTTGTGTGTGCACATCCCATTCCCACTTCAAACTATCACTATGCCGTAGTGCATTTAAATCGGTGGACGTTTGAAATAACGACTTACTTATTCGATGATCCTTCAAATTTTTATTTTTACTCCAACCATCCTACGGGACTTGTCAAGCACATGCTTTTTTACCCGTAATAAATCATTTTTTTATTTTTTATTTTTCCTTAATATGCTTTCTTCTAATTTTCGTTACTTATTTTGACCATCTCATAGTACTTGCAATCATTTGTCTTTTTACACGTAATACCCAAGCATTCCTTATCGGGGCAATGGTATCCAATCCCCAGACTCTACCTATCCCTTCTGTCACTGGCGACGCGATCAAACACATTGAAGTGCAGCAACCCATGAACCCAAGCAGCACAGCTAAACCCGAAGAAATAAGGTTACGCAGCATGTGGATGGGAGCCACGTTTCATCGACGGAGCCGGCCCAACCTCCTTCAACCTACACAGC